GCTCACGAGTTACGCAAATGGGTCCTGTTTATTTTAATATGATATGCCATAATTGGACTTTATGGGACAATACATGAAACACTACACCGTTTCTGATATATAAACTGCAATACATTATTCAGCATCGGAGGAGCTTTCCAACGATACCAAACACGACTACCTTTTGGTGAGTTTATATACTTATTCTTATTTTATACACATTTTAAGTATATTTTGCGGATATTTTAAAACAAATGAACACCTATTTTTTAATTATGTTCCATTCTGGCGTGAGTGACAGTTTTTATATGTCTGGTTTGTTGCCTGTATAGAAATTATGATTTTAGACACCAACATCATATCTGTAGCTTATTTAGTTCCAATTATATGCACATTTTAGATAAATTTGGCGGCCATTTTGAAAAATGGCCGCCATTTGTACACCAGGTGAAAAATCAAGTGTCAACAGGGCTTAGGGTGACCAGGACGGATTAATTAGGATATCTGGCTATATTGACTACTTCTAAAATTCCAATCTCCCTAACTTGATTTCTAGGCCTCTTTTTTTTAAATTTTTTTCCTAGTCTAAATCCAACGGCACTAGACCCTATTATACAGTAGAAGACTGTGATAAATGACGTTTGCATGTACACGGGCCAACTTGGTTAATAATCAATATACAGATTTGTTTGTAGGCCTATATTAAAAGGTCCGTAGGCCAGTATTGTAAATCGGCGAAAAACTTGTTGGGACCTTTCTTGCGTGACAATCAAACTTACTAACTCACCAATCAGAACATTTGTAAGAATGCGCGATTGTCCCATAAAACACACTCCTCAAGTCACCACAACACAAACGCACGCACGTGCTTACGTACATTTACGCTACCTTTTTGTGGGACGTCAGAAAACAATTCAAGGGGGCGGTGCTTCTAAAAGGTTTATTGTTTCAAGTCAATTAATCCCGGAAAAACAACATGCAATACAAGCAAAATGCAAACACACAAAACTAACTAAGATGTCACAAATGTTGGCCCGGGGGTATCATGCGCCAAATGTACTTTATTTAAATAGCAAAACATTATTTATAGATATCTGAAGTGTCGAAAGTCATATATAAATAACGATTGTACTCATAGTCATTATTTATAAATAATTGTTTTAACATCGTATTATTTCATAAAGAGGGAAAATCGCTCCACCAGTTATTTATATATAATTGTTGGAAGCAAAACTAATTTTATGCATATAATGAAAATATGTTGAATTATATATTAAATAATGAATTATATGTATATAATTTTGTTAATAATGAAAGTACATTTGGCGCCTCATATGACTTGGGCCTATGCATATAAGAAAATTAATAATGTATTCATGCATCATCATAAACGTCCTCGTAGGCTAAACACTTTACAGTTTGGTTCCATGAGCTCTGTTGTGGGCCAGAATGATTTTGTTAATTTTATTACCTGTATTCAATATTTTTATTTCATGGAGGTTTTCTGCATTATAGGCCATTACATGGTTGGAAGCGGTCATGACACTCCTCTGTTTCTTTAAGTTCTTGCATTAAAATGTTACTCTATTAACTTTCCACTGAAACACTAGGGAACAGTGTGCGATGTCATATTACTATTATTATTATTATTATTATTATTATTATTATTATTATTATTATTATTATTATTATTATTATTATTATTATTATTATTATTATTATTATTATTATTATTATTATTATTATTATTATTTTTATTA